CATTCTAGAATGAAAGAGGTATAATTTATATTTATTTCCTAATTTTTTTATATTGGTTATAAGATCGGTCAAATCTACTGAACCCGTGAAATAACAGATAAAATTAAAATATCTTTTAAAGGAACATTTGATAACTATCTGGACATTATAAAGATTTTGCATGTGAAATTTGAAAACTTTTGTGATGCATAAAAGTATTTTTAATCTTAAAATGAAAATTACTTTCAGTGTTGGATAGGCAACACATGAAAAAAAAAAGGCATGAGAAAAGCATTGCTTTACAAACCTTAAGGCTTAAAAAAATTTGATATTTTGCATATGAAACATTGTAATGTTTACTGATACTCTGCCAAATTTCTTTAACATACGCTTACTAATTTAAAAGTTATAGCATAAAAACTAACAAGCACAAAATGGTTACTAGGTCAGTCCCAGGGACTGAGCCTGTGCTGAAAGACTTAACTGACATTTGATATTGATAAAAGCAGTGGTGTTTTGAATTCAAATTTTCTTAATGTAACTTAACATGTCCTTTGTGTGTGTGTGAACCCATGGCTCTTAACCATGATTGAATTAACTGATATCAATACATAAGGAAATTAGTTACTGCTTTACAATGGAAATTTAAATGGTTGTTCTTAAAAATATGAACTATTTTATGGTTCTTGATTCAGTCATATTCACCAACCTGGTCTTAAAAAATTATACGGTTAATAAAAGTATAGTAATATACATGTTCCATAATAGTCAACTGTCATTTCGTATTTACTGTTAGTTTGTTAAAAGATTTAAGTCACAATTTTTTACAAATATTTTGCATCTAATTACTAACTATATTTTTTTTAATTATATCGTTTTTACTAATCATTTATTTAATCTGTTTTTATGTGTATTTCAGAAGTGGACACTCCAAGGTTCATGATTCCACCTATGACACTTGGATCACCTCTTCGAATGCCAACTCCACTTGGAGCACCTTTAATAATTTCTCCACGCCTCTCATTACCAACTTCTGCTTCTCTTTTAAATGGAACTGCCCCTCCTCCTCTTATAAATCCAGCAGATGCAGGACTCTTCTATTCTCCATACACTGACTACCCGTATGCTGCACTTGCTTCTCCTCTGTTAGCAGATTATCCAGGACTTGACCCCTCTACTGCTGGTGGGTTGTTTGGCCGATAAGGCTTGTATCTGTAGCTTTAAGAGCAAGGTGATGAAGACTGAATTTATATATTTTGTTGTTTTTGTTGAAAATGTTTTTGTTTTGAGACTAAGACTGTTTTATAGGCCTTCATGGTTCTGGAAGTGTTATAGATGACTATCCATATTTTTTAAAGAAAATATCAGGAGGCTTGGAATATCTAAGGACATGTACATTTTTTAATTCAAGTGATGAAGCTGAATTTTTTTTTGTTTCATTAAGATGATTTTTCCCCCCATAATGTGAATTCCTTATGATGAATGTCACTGTAATATAATAAATGTGTATGTATTTGTTTTGTTTGTATTATGGAGAATAAGGTATGTTTGTTTAAAAACTCTTAAAGCTCTTAACATGTTTTTTAAATATAATTTAAATTGATGACAATCAAAAAATGACTGGTTTAAATATTTAAATGCATTTGCCCTTGAAAAGTTAGCAATGGAACTGTTCTCTAGATTGAAATACTTGATAATACAATTTTGCTTAAAAGTTGACTTTTTTTCAACTACATTTCCTTGTGGAGTAAGGAAAAACCAACATATATCATGAGCTTTTCCCTTCTGTGTTTTTTGTGTAATTTATGGAAGAGTTCCACGTTTAATATTTTATCCGTATAAAATGTGAGAATGAAAATCCTAATAACGTTTTAAAAATTATGTTTATCATGTCATTTTCAGGTATAAGAAATTGTTGTACTTCAGAGGCAAATAGTACCAGTCTTTAATTATCATAAATATATTTAACATAAATACAAGTTTTCAGTTATTTGCCCATTCTATCTACTGAAATGCAGGGATTAGGAATCCTGAACATGCATAGTAAGTAATCGAGGAAATCAAATGCATAATGGGTAAGCATAAACATACTGTGGAAACGTTATAGGTAATTGTGCAGTTAGTCCAAGGACTCTTTTTGGGGTTCGTTGCATTCATTTATAGGTTCTAGCTTCACTTTCTAAGCCTGTACAGTAGATGAAGCACTTACCTTTTTTTTTTTCTGAATGTTTATTGGCAACTATCTGTTGGAGTAGGTTTTATTTACCAAACAAGCTTTTATTGTATTGGGAGTTATCAGTTTTTAGGACACTGTTTCTCCATTGTTATGGCTTCTTCAACTTTACAGACTATTTCTTTTTGTACTTTCATACTTAAAATGGTCTGTGTATAAACTCTTATGAATATTGTATGCAGTACAAGAAGCTAAGTTTAACATGCATTTATTCTGGAAAACACAAAGGATTTTAGCTTTTTGGTCAATAAAATTGTCAAACTGTTAAATACAGCACAAGTTTTTTAGATAACAAATATAAAACCATTGTATATGGAACAACAAAGCTAGGGTGTAGTGTAGCTAGTGAAGGTTGGATGAAGTGCTTGAAATCAAGGCATACTACATTTTAATCTAAGGATTGTGGCTTCTTGTGTGACATTAATTTTGTGCACTAGAAGAAATTTGGAGAATTATGATTAAGGAGGTCACTACTTTTGTTTTGAAATAAAGCTTTATAGGGTTCTTGAACTTTATATACATTTTTACTTTGAAACTATATAAGATTTATTTTTAAGATGGAGGAGCTCAATATTGAAGCAACATATATGGTTGTTGGTCCTGAAAAATGTCTATGGTAATAATGCTAATAATAATTGTAAGGTTGAAAATCCCTGAGCAGTTTTTTTTTCATAAGGAAGATGGTAAATGTCTGTTTAGAAAGTTGTTGGAGAACTAGTAAATTTAAAAACCTCAAGTTATAAATTAGCCTCTGTAGATCAAAGGTTGAAAATGTGGTAATCAATTTGATGCTTGCCACATGGGTGAGACATAGTGTGATCACTTTATGATGTGACTAATGTTCTAAATGTTGATAGCATCCTGGATTGAAGGATAAATTTTTGAGTGTCTGAAATCCTAGTCACACTAATAAAGAAAAGGTAGATTCTTCTGATTTAAGTATATGAACAGTTTTATTTTTTTTTATTTTCTACAAATTAAGCTCTTTGAAAAAAATTTACTATAGAATTCAATTTGATTTTTGTCATTTGCAGTTGCTTTAGTATGAATTTTATCAAACCTTTTTGTAGTAAAGACTGGTCACTGAACCTCTATGGGTTATAAAGTAAGTCTGAATGAAACACGGCTCATTTTGTTACAGTTAAGTATCTTAAAAAATTAAATCAATATTACGGCTTAAAAAAATCAGTATAGTCTACACAACAAAATCTAAATAGACACATTATAAAAGTCAATGAAAATGCTTGCTGGCCTTAGGTAGAAGGAATATGACCCAGATATGTAGTGGATTCACAAGTGCATAGTTACAATAATATGCAACTTCTGTTGCTAATTTGACTGTAAGGTAGGAATTTGGTCCATGGCATTTGATTTCCTGAGTTTCATTTTGAGTTTGTAGGAATTGAGGTAGATGATAAACAGTTGTTCAGTAAAGAACAACATTGTTAACTTGATTTTTAGCAGTAAATAGGTTAATTTTTTTACTTCAGGTCTGTTGAAATGGCAGGGTGACACAAAAGGTTTCTTCTTGAGCTATTAGTACATTCTATGCAGTCTGCGGTTGCCAGAACACCTGAGGATAGCAACCCAGCCTAACAGTCATCATTTATAATGTTAATTGAAATATTGCCATTGAATATAAAATACAGGATTTGTATAATTACATATATTAAAATGTTTTTTTTATTGATATTTTATCTTTTATTTATCAAAGTATATGAGATGAATTTAAACCAAAAAAATGACTAAACACTATCAACAGGCCAGCATTTAAGTGCTAACTTTATAAAGGTTACTTAGAATTTGTTTTTCATTAAGGGCATTTATCATATGTAAATGTATATAAAGTTTTAAAGACTCTTTATGCTAAATGTTATAATATTCAAAGTTGTTGTCATTCATTATTAAATCTTTGTTTGAAATCATATTTTTAAGTGTGCATGCACATGAATTTGTATATGTGTGCTTGTATGTTTTTTTTTCTAAGATGTATATTTTTAGATTATTTATCAGTTATATCTGTATATTTGTAGAATGGAGTTTGGGACCAACATGTAATATTTATTACAAAATTAGACTTTTTTACAGGACACTCCAGAAAAAATAAGATTTTATTCAAACCTGACATTTCGGCTTATGCCTTTCTTAAGGGTTACAGTATCACGTACAGATATAAACTGATAACTGAAAAGAACACATACAACAATTTAAACCTGACTTAACAATAGTAATGTCACATTATTGCATGAATGTTAAATGGAATTTGAATAAATAAGGTATGAGAGAAAATGCAAGCTATTGAACAAAAAATAATAATTACAAAGCCCAAGAATTATTTGTTTATTTTAGATTTATAAGATTGAATCGAGAGACTCTTTGAATTTACAATGAAGGAAACTATTACATTTTGCTTACAGCTTAAAGTTAAATGGGATTTTATCTACTGTACCTTTTTTTGTTAGAAAGTGTTTGGCAGTAGCCTATTTAGAAATGATTCGCGGTGTCATGGATGTGTTCCTTAAAATGTTTATGTACTGGATGACCAGTTTCACCAGCGTATTTGTCATCACACTGGGTACATTTCATCTATTGTATTTACCAGTTTAAGAGTCATCCAGTTCATTGTTTCTAGGAGGAGAATTTTTTGATTTACAATTATTTTTCTTATTGAAAACCAAATGAACAAGTAAATTTTTTAAGTAGTCCTGAGTTTTGTACAATATGAATATTTAATCTATATTGTTTTTATAGCTTTACATGAATACTTAGTGAGAGATTCATCAACAAAGGGTAAAGTCCAGATGACATTTCTGGTCTGTGAAGATTTATTGAATTGCTTTTGTGTAACTCTGTTTGCAAGAAGCCTTTTAAATATTTTGGAAATAGGGTTATCAGGGTAAACATTACAATGAAGTTTTTGTATGTTCAACCTAGTGGTTATTTTTGTGTTGTTTGTGTTACAGGTTCTTTCAATAATTATACTGTGTTTGGTATTGTTGGATGGAGTTAGTTGACATGTAAAATCAATGGTTTAACACTTGATTTTTGGCACATTTTAGTAACAAGTTTGTTATTTTCAACAGAGACCATGGTATCAAGGAATGGTAAGGCCCTCAAAGAATCTCCAGCGTAAATTTAGTAGTATAATATAAGTTAAGGAAATCAACAAATTCTAAGAGAGAGATGTCATGATTCCAAAAAATGAAAATGTCATCAATGTATCGAATACCACCTATCAGGTTTTAGTCTAGTTTCAAACTCCTACTGCAAATTTGCAGAGCTTTTGAAGGAGTGCTGTAACACTTGAGTAAGGCATAAGCAAAAATGTCGGGTTGGAATAAAATAATTTTTTTTTCTGGAGTGTGTTAGTCGTTTTTTGCAGGAACTTCAAGATGGAATAATTTAAATCTTCAATCATTTTATTTTTGATATTTTTTATGGGTGTTTTAATCATTGAAACAAAGCATCATGGCTAATAAAACAAACTTTCATTCACACGGTTAATTTATGTCTTCATTACTGCCACAAAACTTTTATAAAACCATGCTCATAAGCACAAACTTGATGTTATACCTCAAATTAAAAAGAAATTGTTTTAACTGATAGTTCTAAAACAAAATCATCCTAAAATCAGTTAATTAGTGTTTCAAACACTTTTTCAAACAGAGATTCTGCACGTGAAATGTTAACGTAGGTGAGGCTCATAAATATTTTAGAATAAAAAAAAATTTTGATGTCTTTTGTGAATAGTATGGTTTGTCTTTGCAATATCTTGTGGTAGAAGATCACCACTGATTCAAATATTTGCTTATGTAAAATGTCATATATGAGATGACTATTAAAACACTCAATTTTTCATTATTTCTGTGAATGTGTGTACAAGTATCACTAAAATTTTGCAGCAAGGTTTATATTTATTTTGTATGCTTTCACTCCTTATTCTCATCAACAAAGATACAAATTTGGTTTGAAAGTTAGGGCTTTTTGTTTTTCACTTAAAGAATATCAATAATTTTTTGCCTTGATGAGGTTATAATACATTGGGTTTGAAGGAAAAGTTAATATATTGTGTGGTATTAATGTGAAATTTGCTTTATGAAAGTTTTGAAGAAACAAAAATTGCATGCCACATTAGCAATTCATAGTTTTTCATTTTGGGACAGTGTTTGTTTATGATCATTATTTTTGAAAAAAATTACAGAAATTGATAAGAAATAGCAAGTTATTTTTGTGCTGTATTGTTGGGTATGCAGTGCATTAAATTTTGAAGCTTTTCTTGTAGCTGTATGGTAGACCAATTAACATTCATCAAAGCTCTTTGGCAGTTTGAACACTTGTATGAAGAGCATGTATTTTTCTCAGTTAAACTTTCAGCTATGTGAAGTGAATAGAGTATGTATTGAACAACAAAAACTAACAGTACTGTTTAAAAAGTGTTGAATTTATTTAATGGCATCAATGGTTTTGATATTACAGACTGTTCAGGTTAATGCCTAAGATAATTTTAATCAGTTCAAGTTAACATGTTAGGTGTTTTAATGCTGGTTTTCAGTTGATAAGCTCTTAATAAAATATATGAATATTACGTATATTTATATAAGAAGCATGTTTATTTACTTGAACATAATATGTGATTTAGAATTTGTTAATTATAAGCTTAGAAACATTTTATGACCTGAATTTCATTTTTCATCAGTGGTCTCAGCATCACTCTGAAGCAAGCCTTAAACTAGCAGAATGGTATTTTTGTGTTTGCAAAGGCAGTAATTTAAATATGGAAATATGATGCCTTAATGGTTTATTTTTCTGAACAAATTTCAAATGTCATAAAACTGATTCGTATACCTTTCTGTTAAGAAATATTGGTCAAAAGTATTCTTTGTAGATCAAATATGAAATTTAAGTAACATGCTTGTTAATGAAAACTACATAGTATAACAGACCGACTAGAAACACTTAATGTTATAAATCAGTACACCAGAAAATTAAAATGTACAATAATTATATTGCATCGAATCACTAGTTAGGTATCTTCCCTGCTTATAATTTCTTCTGTAAATTCAGTAATATCTTGATGTTTGATAAATTTAGGCTAGTCCTACATCCATGCACTAAGGTAGAATATTAAAATCTTCATGAATTTAATTATAATTGAAAAATTGATTCGACAAATGTTTCAAGCATTACAATCAATAAACTTTAACTGCAAGAAAAATGGAATTGTTATTTAGAAAGCTCAAATATACTAGACATTTGCTATTTAGATCCACAAACAAGTTGATGGATGTTTGAAAAATTGACTAAATTTTATAACCAAATACACACCAGGCACTAATTTGGAACATTATACCGTTGCCCTGTTAATGTTTGTGAATTTGTTTCAAAATTGTCAATCCATCTGAAAAAGCGATATGTGACTTTTAATATAGCTGTAGTGTCTTTGATAACATGTTAGTAATTGCTTTGAGAACTAGGTGTCGTTTTGTTTGGTGGTGAATACATTTATGTCTATTTAAAGAAGTATGACTAGTAATAAGTTCTGAGATTAAGCAATAAATTTGATATTATTAACAGACATGATAAAACTTTTTCAGTGAGAATCCAGAAATAGTATTTGTAAAAGTTGATTCATTTACATTTTTAACTAAGCAGCTTACATATGCTAGTAGAGATAGCTTGGGCTCGGCTCATTTATGTAAAGGCAATAATTGAAAGAATCAAGAAGTTTATCCTCAATTTTTGAAGTTTGTTTGAAAAGGAATTAACTTGTTACATTTATTTTGCTATACTGTTACAAAATTGTTATAGTTTTGTGTGGTCATTAAGTCTGGACACATTCAAATGGAAAACTTATGAAATGTTGTCCAAAGGGATTGTCATCTGAGGCATAAAATTAATATATGTGGGTAATTCATTTAGTTTGAACAGTCTGAGGAATATCTGCACACTTAGCTGTAGTATGAGCTTTTGAATGTGTTACGTATTTTTAACCCTATAAATCACCATTTATTTTTCTGAACTATATGTCAAACAATTGACTCATTCCCCTTTCCTTAGTGCCACAATACAATTAGTTTCTACCCAAGAAACAGTCATTAATGTTTGTCCAAACTGTACTACAGTTGCTTTCATAGTTTTTTGAATATTTCAGATGGTAATGCAGCAGTTGCCATTCTCAGGCTTCAATTATAGAAACTGTCATGTAAAAAGAACTATGATATAGGGTTAAGACTTATTTATGCTTAAGTTTGAGGAAAATACTAATGTTTTATGACATAGTTGACAATACTTTTGTATTTTTATAAAAGTATGGTTGGCAATTTTTTGCTAGTAGTGCTGTTTATATAATATATCTAAATAAATAATAAAAAAAAAAGCCCAGAAAGTACTAACAAAATGAGAGTTGGTTCACTTATGGACTAAAACTTCAAGTCTTGTTTTGTTTTATTAACTGTTACTTTCTTCTGCTATACATAACATGTGAATTTAAATCTCTTGTACTTTTCAGGAAACTTGTTTGTTACAACTTTAGTTAATTGTAATCATTAGCTTTAACACTTTTAATTATTTTTTTCAGCATTGCAATTATAACAGCTTTTATGTCATTTGCTTATTGATGTCTATTTGCAGTATTTGAAGATGTTATTTTTTGGTAACTTTTAGCTTTTCAAATTAAGTTGGTACTTACATCTTAAATTAAACTTGTTGGGTTTTGGAAACTTTAAGATAGGAAAGGATTAATCTATAAACAAATTAACCATTATTTTTTTTCTCAAGTCTATTTAAAATGACTTTTAACTTGCTTAAATGTTCTTTCTAAACTTGCTTAAACTGTGCAGGTTAAAATTTTCTAATTGCTTCTTAATAAATTGATTTAGCCTTGACTCGTTTCAATTATAATTTGTTAAATAACATAACTGATTAACACTTGGAGGAGCATTCTGTGTTTAAATTAACACTTGGAGGAGCATTCTGTGTTTAAATTAACACTTGGAGAAGCATTCTGTGTTTAAATTAACACTTAGAGGAGCATTCTATGTTTAAATTATAGGAATAAAGGACGACAATATTAAACAGTATTATGGTTGAACAATAGTAATCAAAAAAGCACAAATATAACAAATTAATAAAGATAAGTTACAAACATGAATGATTTGTTCAGTTTTATAAACATAATCTATATATCCTTTGTCATTTTGACACAACTTTGTTATATTGTTGTAATATTCTAAATATGTATGGGAAGGAGGATTGTTAGGATAGTTGTATAAGAAATGAGCTGTCATAAACATAGAATGCTTCTCTTGAAAGGAGCTTGGATTATCCCAATTTGCCTTAGAGCTGAAAGATAAAAGATGCATTAACCTTTTCCCTGTATGCATGACAGGTGCAGTTGCTAAACAGAGGAGACTTCTTGGGGTTAGAGATCACCCATATACACGAACTGGATCTCTGTCGTAGATATTTACAAGGTTTGTTGTACATTTGTTTCTTGTTTAAGGCAAATTCCAAACAATTTATCTCTAAACAAAGAACATGACGTGACAAATTAATGAAAGCAAGTTAAAAATTATTATTCATATTACTGATAAATACTGTGGATACATATTGCAAAAATCACTTGAACATTTATGCGATGTATGTTTGAAAGATTAATTTTCAATAGTGAAAACATTTAGAGCTTTAAACTTTCTTATCTTGGTTTCAGACAAAAATCAGTGAAGATGGTTAAGCATGAGAAATATTTAATGACACAAATACTTCAATGAAATTGAAGGAAACGGTTTTTTAACTATGATTTGTGTGATCCAAGATGCTTTCTGGAGAATTAATTTTTTGAGTTGTGGACTAAAGTAGGGGTTAAAAGTTTGAGAAGTTAGGATAATGGATTTTGTATGAGGAGAGTCAGTATACTGAAGCAAAATTAATAGTTTGATAGAAGATAAACAGTTGTAAGGAAGGTACTGAGAGGGATATTGATGGAGCATTGAGAATAACAAATTAGTAAAGGTGGAAGGCTAACAGTTTAGGTAAAAAACAAATTAGTAATGATAAAGATCTATCACTTTTTAGATTATATTTTCGTCTTGCAAGGAATGAATTAAAGCAAAATGGAAAAATTTGCTACTATGTTCATTTTGAAGTAGAATTAATAAGCAAAGTGTTTCTTTCCGAGATGCAAGTTCAGGTTGGAAAACAATTTTTTAGATTTTTTTAAACTATTATGATGCCTAACGTGCATGTTCCTAGTACTTTACACCTAACTCATTTTTAATCATACTGATCACTTATATAGTTAGCTCCACTAAAACATGGTTTATTTTGAATATTAATTTAACATCACATGCTTAATTACTATAGTCCAATGGTTCCCAAACTTTCCCATGTGTTGGAATTCTTGTGTGTGCATTCACACACATGCATACAATATGGGTGGGCTTATTTCCCTTCACAGAAGAGGATTAATGCTTATTAAAATGGGCACTGTTAATTTTAATGGTAATGCAAACAGTAATTTCAATACCTTAGTAATATTGACTGGTCTTAATGCCATTGCTGACTGTTCTGCAGAACCCTTAGTGGAACCCTGGGGTTCTGTGGAACACAGTTTTGGAACCACTGTTATAGTCCATCTGTCTTTAGTTTTTAAAATAGTTTTGCAAAGCTATGAATATATATAATATAACACACACTACCAATTAGTTAAAATACTTTGCCATTTAGGTATTTAAGATCACTGAAGAAATCATGTCATTTTGTAATGGCTCCCGTATTGCTCAAATCAGCTGTATTTGTGTTGACCAGTAGATACGGATAAAACACAAGTAAAGGCTTTAAACATATTACCTCAATACACATTTTGTGCCATTTTTATTGCGTTTATTGATACTGTACTCTTTATTTTACAAGGGTTTTTTTTAATTCGGGTGATTTTAAGTTTTATGAACAATTATGTAAAATATCAGAATTTTAATGATGTTATAATGTATAATAAGGCTTTTGTTTTCTACGTTATTTACTATGTTGTGAGATTAAACCATTCAATAATATTTGCTATTAGACCATGCTGGATATTGTAATTAATTGAACCAGTTATGTAATCTATATTTTTATGTAATTTCACTTTATAAAACATCTCTTAGAAATTGTAAATCATCATAACTTAGCAGCTGATTTATTGTTCTGAAACTAGATTATTTAACCTTGTAATGCTTTATATATATTTTTGAAGAAACAAAGTTTTAATTTGTAACTGATGGAAACTAAAATATCTGTTAGAGGTTTAACAGATTTTTGTCTTTTCTATTCAATATCTTCAAGGACTTGTTAAAACTAACCAAAACATTTATACATATTTGGAACTATGACTTGTGGATTAACAAAATTTTTGTCTAATATATATATACACTGTGAGTAAAGATATTCTTTTAAATTTAAATGTGGTACTTGCACATAATATTAGTAAGTTGCTCCTCTTGAACTTGAACTATATTTGGTATAAATAATTACAAAATAAATTAATATTATGGCTTCTATTACTATTCAAAATATGATTTAGAAATTGCAATCAATTTAATGTAGTATGCCTATCTAGTCTTTGCTGAAGACAATTTAGATTCATCAATAAGGAAAATAGTACAGATTAAGAGTTCCATAAGATTTTGAGAATGTTTTGTGAAACAGTTTTATATGTTGTGTATTTCACTGATTAAACTTCTTTAAAGAGTCAGCATTTTAAGTATAAAATTTAAACTACATAACATTAATCAACGTGCACAGCTTTTCAGAAGCGTAAGGTTTTTGATCAGCTTTAAATGTTTCTCAACGTTCAAAAAATAGATTAAATACTTTCTTTTAATTCACTTAACACTTAATTAAAATGTGAATTAATTCAAGTGAAACAGCTGATGTCAATTATTTCCATGCCCAAAAATATATCTACACAATTCTGGAAATGTTTTTATATTTAATGCATAAAAAGTTTAAGACCATGAAGTATTAAAGTGAAAAGAAAACTTAGATAACATCATACCCTGTTTTTTTTCTTTTTTTTTAATATAAAACTTAATCTATGACTAGTTGATCCTTGCTTACATAACATAGTATTAATACTCCCAAGTGTGGTGGAGCAAAAGAGGGTAAAATATTCAAACTGTGTAAAGTTTCACATTTAACATTTCAATTTATTCCAACTAACATGATCTTGTAATATTTTTTCTCTTTGAATCTGTTAACCCAGCTTCACCACACGACCACTTCATGACTTGACCACCAAGACTAACCTTCCCTCATCCTCTACCGATGCTTGCAAACAGCTGCCAGCCAATCAGTCAGCCAGTTTAGCACAGTCAGTGTACCATATCTTCTTTTGGTTATCAAGATAGCCACTAACCAACCTCCAGTATTTGATGTGCTTTCCCATCTGTGAAACTGCTTCCTCAGGTGGCTCTTCTAGGGTGGTAACAGCTTTAGAAATTTCAAGTGTCTGTTATTCATATTATCTTCACATACGTAACTATGTATTCTAATTTCATTTGTTGCTGAAAAAATTGTTCTTTTAACTATTTCCATTACTTACATTGAACAAATAGTAAGAATGTGTTCATACTGTATTTCTTTCCATCTTACTAACTTTAATATCAGTGAGCTGTGGAGGAATTCACCTAAATGCTTTTGGAAGGCCCTTCATTAAAAAACACTGCAAAGATTATGTTGAATATGTTGGCTGAGATGTATTTTGTGGGTGTGCAGAAATATTTTTGTAAAAAAAAAAAAATGCAATATTTTTTGGGCTTCTTGTATATCACTGTTTTAGATCACTTGTAAATTGACATTTGAGTTGTTTTTGTTATAAAAACAGTGGTAAAATACATACCAAAAGAAAGGAAAAAGGAACTTTATTACAAGAAATTTTATTTACACAAGTTTTAGTCTAAACTTTATAGTTACAGCCTTCGAAGAAGTTGCTTGAAATTGTGATCCCACAAGCAATGTGCAAGTTGTGCAAACATGTAAGAATTATTACCAAAGCCACTGTAAAATTCTTATGCTTCAAAATAAAGCAGCTTTACCATTTATTTTTTTTAAAGATACAAATGGTTAGGAAAATTCTGTAGTGTAAAGTTAAAATGAAGAGAAATAAAATTTATTGTAAACGGTTCTTAATTTTCAATACATCAACTAGAAATGATTGGAAAAGTGTAATGTTAAATTTTGAAGGATTGCCTGCTTGATATCTGAATTTTGGGTTTAGAAGTACAATAGAATCTAGATTAATGGGCAGACCTTTTCAGTCTACTTTTTTCTAATATTTGTAACCAAAATATATATTGAAATAATGGGCACCTACTGGATTAAGGGCAGTGTCTTTAGTCTCATTCTCGAAAAGTAGACAGTTATCTTTGTATGCCTGTATGGTATACCGCTAAATTCCAAACATCCCACAGGAAGGATGACCAGTATTTGAACACTTGCGATGTTTATTGGATTGGCTCCAAACCACATACTGTAATAAACGTTTTCACAGATGCAAAGTGCAATCTCATTATTGTGGGGAATTCTCATTGTAAACACTGTAGAATACATAAGCTGATAAGTTCGACATGATGTTCTTGGATCAGAGGTTAAGACAACTTATTTCTGTGCACGTGCTTTGTTGCTCACAAGAGTATCGTATTATGGTGTCACGTAAACCGTCTAATGACACAAGTGGTGACTTGTCGCTTTATTTTCAGCAGATTTCTATTTCAGTTATTGACAGTAAAATAAATGTCAAATGTGACCAATAAAAAAAAAAAAAGGTACAGTTAAACCATCTCCTGAGAGACCTCCTGTTGACAATGCTCCATCTCATGGCATTGTGCAACTCACGAACACCCTTGTCTTGCATACACCAATTAAAATGGGGCCTTAAAGTTCAGAAATTTAGTATGGTCAATATGGAATCCATCTTTGCGTGGCTCATTTTTGATATTAAGGGCACCTTACTATATAGGGCAGTTGGAAGGGTGCCCTTAATGTCAAGGTTCTACTGTATAAAATATTCAGTATGACAATTTGCATGAAATAAATTAATAATTAGTTGGACAATCCCTAGTCATTGATTGATGTGTGGTGTGGAGGAGCATTTCAGAATATGGAGAAACATGGCAGCTGCTGGCACAATGTTACAAGTATCATGCCAATAGGTGGTCACAATGTTGATAATGTTCTGTTAATAAATTGCATGTGGAATTTTGAGTATGTGATTTTTTTTTGTTTGTGCTATTTGGTTTTATATTTGAAAACATTATTTTTATTGTATGTTTGTTCTGCTACCGTCCATTTGTGACAAAGAAGTATACTTGGAGGTCATTTTTTAGTTTAATACAAACTTGTGATGAGAGAAAAAAAAAGGTGGAAACGTAAAAGTAACGATGCATTAAAAAGTCAATTTTTTTTATAGTAACTACCTAGTACTGTTTATAAATTAGACCATGACAAAACAATGTATTAAGTAAATCAGAAACCTTATGAAAACATATTGAAATAAGTTGAAAATCACAAGTAATGCATTTCTGATTTTTTTTATAAATTATTTGTCACATTTCATGTCTGTTGCATATATTAAAAAACTCTTTTACAAGGAAAACTAATGGTACTGTAAATTTGGTGATTTATATTATATTTTTGTATCATCCAATTAAACAAAATGATCTGGGCTATTTTTCATCATCTCATCTTTCTATCTTGAACAGTAGCATTGATTTGATTTATACCAATGAAAAAAAAAATTAAGTTGTTCAACTGAAAATAACCTCTAAGTAATTTGTACTTAATGTATTCTGGGTTGGATAATTTTTATTTGTTTTGTATCCTAAGAGAAAAACAAAAACATGAAAGATCCCATTCATAAAGGATATATGTGCTTATTTGTACAAGTTCTTTTAGTATCCATTTCTTGATTGCAGTTAGGATAAGGATAACAGGTGCAGTATCATAGTACATATTGATATAGTGATGATTATAAATGTTTTTATGAATGAAGGTGGAGGGTGTTTTTGTAGTATTTGAAATATTTTTTTGGGAATAGATGAAAAAGATGATGAAATACTGCATTCATTCTCTCGGTTAGTTAACCTTTATAGCTTATGAATGAAATACACAAGATCCTCACTTCATATATGGTAAAATGCTTTAAAGTACAATTTACTTGATGTCTCTTTCAAAGCATAAGAAAAACCGAAGATTAAATGAAATAAACATTACACAAGCTCTCTCATCAAAAATCATCCATAAGTACTTCATAATCTATGACTGTTATATTTGTGTTTTGTGCACATGCTTCTCCTTCCCTGAACATTGAAAAATGTTAGCAAAAATGTCACAACCAAAGAAGTCATTTTATTAGTACACATCATCGAAAACAGAAGTGGCTTAAGTTTTATTTAATGACTAACATAATAAAATTCAGTTTTCTTGGAACATAGTGAGATTTCTTTAGAAAATAAATGGTGCAACTAGATATTGATATTAATGAATTTTAATAAGATTGAGTGATATGTCAGATAAATGATCAAGTAAAGCTCAATATGCAGTATATAAACTGTTAGCTTTGCGTATGATAGTTTATATGTTTTGTACATTTCAGGCTATCTGCTTTAAAAAATTTCATCCAGTAAGATTTCTCTCTGGATACATTTCAACAATAAATTACTAGTTGCTGAAATATTTTTCTCTCTGAAATGGAAACTACTATAGGACTAAAAAAATCTCATAAGATATCAGTTACTCATTGCATTTTATAAGCCAAGTCCATAAAGCTGAAACATACAATTAATGCAAATTTTTTAAAAGATCTCTGATAAAGGGTTGCTAAAATGTTTTTAATACATAGTAAATGCACAATTTCATAAGCTGTTATCTCCCCCCCCATATTTTGTTCCTACAGAGATACAAATATTAATCAAAGGATTGTGTGATGAAAGTGATTAGTATTAAAATTATTTTCTAAATATTGCAATGTGTCATCAGTAAAACTGGGTATCTTTACTTAACATGTAAATGGCAATAGTCCTTAAACCTTCCTAAATGAGAACCATGTTTTAGAAGACTTAAAAGTTTGAAACAGTAATATAGAAATTACTGAACTTAGAAATCAGATTTTCTAGGAAGGGAAGACAGTTTTGTGTTCTTTATTTGTATTTTAGGATTGAGTGTTATTTAATGAAAATTTTTACAGAATCTCCTGAATTTTTTTCTTTATTTGTTGCTGTTAACGTAGTACTAGAAAATGTTGATGTGGTGGAGGTGGTTGGTTTTGTGATCTATTTAGCAGTGCCTTTCATAAAAATATATTGCAACTCAGTATCTTTGTTTTATTTTGTGCCATGGAGCAAACTATGAGACATTCAGTAGAGCACTTAAATCAATTGCTCTTTGTGCCAAAGTGTCTAATAAAAATGAATTTCACCTGTCTGCTTTGTTTGTGAAAGGTAAACTGTTTATTATTGCTCAGTGATGTAGTAACTTTACATATAGATATATTTTTTTCCACTTTAGTGATCACGTTAGACAAGGTCACAAAACTTGTATTAGAAAAAGGTTTTCTTTGAAGGGGTAGAACTTATTTTTGTGCTGATAACATTGAATTTTTACACCAACATGTTTATATTCATCTTAAATCTACAAGATCAATTCTGTCATTTCATTATGTTTAAAAACATTCTCTGAGAGTAAAAACTATTACCTGTAAACATTAATGATCAGTTTTATACTTGTCATTGTATTTTATTACATTACTTTGTTTTAAGTACTATTTAATAAGTAGAAATTTTACAGATTTAATCAAATACAATGTGTAAAGCTAATATGTTAACTTGTTTTAGAACACCATTTACAGAAAAAAATTTTAAAAATGTATGTGCAAGATGGCAAATTTCCTACTGTTATTAATAATAATATTGTGTACTACAAATTCATTTCATTGTTGACTGTTACTACTAAAATGTGTTTAAGAGGAGAAATCTCAGTAATTTATAATATACAGTAAAAGTTTTATTACCTAGCATCTGCCAGACCTGGGCAATGCCACAAAATTCTGGTTATGAAAGTGTTTCAGTAATTACAAACTTTGACCACTTGTTAATGTTCTTAAGTACAGTATTTCTACATCTATAACAATAACAGTTTTGAACAATAATAAATATTGTAAAACATCTTAAACTATATAAAAACATAAGTACAGTATTTTAAATGTGAATCACAGTACAGGCATCTAATAACTGAAGCTTGCCAGTAGGAAAGAATGAAAACAAAGCCATAGCAGTGCCACTAAGCTACAATGAGCATTTGTATTTGGAGACTTTTAAATTTCCAGTTACAAGGGTTTTCTGGATATGAAGATGCCAGATAACAAAGCTTTCACTGTATATAGTAAATGATAAAAGGGTGCTAGATTATTGCACACTCAAATTGTTATAAACACCTTTAATTGTTTTGATCTAAAATGTTTCAGAAATTTATTTTACACAATGTTTTCCCATTTTAAGATCAAAATACCTCTAGTTTTGTAGCTATTAAGTTTTAATTTGTGGATATTTTAAGATGATCAAGATCTTGTACTTAAACATTTACTTTCTGTAATAAAGTGTGTTTTGTATTTGTGTTTGTACTGAATTTATTGAATTTTTAATATTTTTTGGTAATATTTCTTTTAAAAAGTTCACAATACAACCAAAATACTCCAATTCAACAATAATGGCATGGCACAGAGGACAGTTTTAACCAAGAATTTAGGTAATAAACATTTATTATAAAATTGTATTTAGTATTATTCTGCATGTAATGTTCATACAATTAATCAAGCAAGTCATTTTAAAGAAATAAGATGGATAAGGCCAAATAAAAGCTTAACTTCGTTATTTTCTGATTGTTGCTTTCTCCAATGTAGTAACGTATAAGCTGTTTAGTTTTGAAATGGCTAAAACTGAAATTTCTGCTGCATACAAAGCATTAAATAATATTAGAACTTGTTCATTGTGTTGTTTTGGCAAACCACATATGAGAAAAAAAAGGGATAAAAATGTATTATTAAAGGATTGTGAACAAATGTGAATGAAAAAGAAAACAGTTTCACATATATAAAGGTGAGTGGCCACAAAATTTTGAATACAAGTTCTCCCCAAAAGCCCTAAAATTCTGTTTCCGTTACTGCTTGGGTTGTCAATCTAATTTTGTCTATTTTTAATATGGTGTAAATAATGTGGTTTCGTATATGTGGATTGACCAGGAAATAATTTCCGGAAGATTAATGTTTTTAATAATATAATTTTAGAAAATAAAATTAACGTTTTAAGTGAACACCTCTACATAGATGGCAACAAATCTGGTCTTATTAAAGACTTGTGGTTGTATGCGAGCATATTTTAATAATCAAGTTTGTTACTAAAATGTACTTCAAAATGTATGTTTCTGTTGTAAGTGTCATTCACGCTGATGAACATAATGTTTCATCTAAATTTCCCTAACATATTTATTGGAAATTTCCATAAATTTTCAGAAGTTCATTTTCATTGCTACAAGTTCTTCAAATACCTATAGAATGATAGGTTTCTTTTTAGTGGGTGTAAAACATGTAAATACACCAATTTGATTTTCGATACCTCACTAGTATGAAGGCTTGGTTTGG